CATATTGTATGTTCAATGCAGTGACCCCTGCAATATTAAAAGTAGAAGCAAAAGCATAAATCAGTAAGACCACCCAGCTTTTTGCCCTCAGGTTTGGGCACCAGGTTGGGAAAGGTGGCGTTGGGCTCACTATACTTCCAGCTCTTTCCTCAATTGATTTGAAATCAATAAAGGCTCTATTACTGTGCTGTTTTGGCTTTGTACACCACTCTTTTTGCTTTCCTATCAAATGCCACCTAAATTATTGCCCTGTAATGATGATTTCTTAGATCAGGCAGGTTGGGATGTGACAATAAGCCACATTCAGTGTTTTGAGACTGAGTTTACATAAGCCTTGGCTCATGGGCGCCCCCTTTTCCTCAAGCACAGTTGCAAGGAAAAGCCCATAAACTTTCACTTCCATTTTAGATTATCCACAGTTTGCCAGGTTGTCCAAACCCAACAAACTGTGGTTAATCTTTAGCCATAGTTAGCCGACACAAGCCAACTTCAAACCAAAGTTTTAAAAGTAGGCTTGGTCCAAAAAGCCATGGTTAAGAATGAACAGTTTAGGGCTCTGACATAAGGATAAAAAAGGTAAAGGGACCCCTGACCATTAGGTCCAGTTGTGACCGACTCTGGGGTTGCGGCACTCATCTCGCTTTACTGGCAAAAGGAGACAGCGTACAGCTTCCGGGTCATGTGGCCAGCATGACTAAGCCGCTTCTGGCGAACCAGAGCAGCACACAGAAATGCCGTTTACCTTCCCGCCGGAGCGTTACCTATTTATCTACTTGCACTTTGATGACATAAGGATAAAAATGGAAGCAAAAGTGTTTGCTCTCCTCTTCACAGCCATGCCAAAGGAGACAGGAAGAGGAGTTGGTGAGCTCGAGGTTTGCTACAGCTTGTCTCTATAACGTGTTACACAGGAACTGAGCCTATGAAATGCTGTCCATGATGGGACAAAGTTTGCGATGTTTCATGAAGACACAAACACAGATTTTCCTGGTGCCTTCTGCTGACCAGGCTAGCCAACTTGCAGTGGAAAATCACAACCTCAAAATGTACTTTCAAAAGGAAAGAATGAATGCTGGGCAGGGGAACAGGTCAGATTCCTGCGAAGTCCATGTGTACAAATGATTGCCTTGTGCTCCTGCTTTGCAGCAGAAGCCGCTTTCCAAACATGGAGGGTTTGAGTTCTCTGTGCTGCTGTTATTCTTAGCTCTGTAAACTCAGGAGCTAAACAAAACTTTGAAGTGGTATCTTCCATATCACGCCCAGCTCCAGAGAGAGACCCTCCCACGGCTGTTGTGAATCACAACTGATTCACATGATTGCCTCAAAAACCTGTGCAGCCGTTGTTGGACTCAGTATATTTAGTTACTACCATCTCAGAAAATTCCATTTTAATAAGATTAGCTGTTAATGGTGTCACAGTAGCGTTGGTGGCAAAATCATTTTGAGATTTTTAATCTGCGCTGAATCATATGCAGGTCTTCTGTTGGACTTTTAACTGCTGTTTAAAATTCATTTTTTTGCTTTAAAATATATGTTGCAACCTAGCCTTACCTGAAAGACAGTCACCAGCTAAACATCAAAGAGATACAGAACAAATAAAATGAAATAACCATGTCTGGAAACACAGTGACTGGGCGTGTTGAGCAACCCCATTGGAGATTCCCATGTATGACAACACAACATAGTCTCCATTTGCACTTTTCCTATCTAGCCATGGATCAGGGGACTGGAGCAATAAAGGGCAAACTCCAGTGTGTCCTTTTTGGTCTTGGGCAGCTCTCTTGCATTTCAGTAGGGCTTGTGGAGGAGAACTTCCTGATAGATGGTGACTGGCAACCACATCCTATGCTGGGGCTGGGGAACCTTTGACCCTCCAGGTGTGGCTTGATCAAGAGAACCAGGAAAGAGGACAAACCAGGGCACCAATCTGCATAAATTTGGCATACCGTAATTTTTATGTACAGGCTCATATTGAAAACTTGGTGCTACAGGCAGCGACCATTTAAGGCACGTCCAATTGACATCACCTTGCCAACAAAGGTCTGTATAGTTAAAGCTATGGTTTTCCCAGTAGTGATGTATGGAAGTGAGAGGCTGATCACCGAAGAATTGATGCTTTTGAATTATGGTGCTGGAGGAGACTCTTGAGAGTCCCATGGACTGCAAGAAGATCAAACCTATCCATTCTGAAGGAAATCAGCCCTAAGTGCTCACTGGAAGGACAGATCCTGAAACTGAGGCTCCAATACTTTGGCCACCTCATGAAAAGAGAAGACTCCCTGGAAAAGACCCTGATGTTGGGAAAGATGGAGGGCACAAGGAGAAGGGGACAACAGAGGACGAGATGGTTGGACAGTGTTCTCGAAGCTACCAGCACGAGTTTGACCAAACTGCAGGAGGCAGTGGAAGACAGGAGTGCCTGGCGTGCTCTGGTCCATGCAGTTATGAAGAGTCGGACACGACTAAATGACTAAACAACAACAATTGACGCATGATTGCTGATGTGCAGGTCCTTTTGGACTCAGAAAAGGGTGGAACAGGGGCAGAACAGGGCACAGCAGGGTGGGCTTCCCTTATGTCCACTCCATCTATGTGCACAATCACCTGGAACACAACCCTCACACAAATTGGGTGTTGCCTGTATAGTTAAAATAGAAATACAATACATTGCACCACAGAGGAAAAGACACCAGGTGAATTGTGCGCATGCTCCATGCTCAGTATGCTGGTCAGGAGCTGCTGTTGACAGGCAACTTCAAGACTCCTGCTCTCCCTGTGTATGGTTCCTTATCTTTACGCCAGACCTGGATAGCATTTCAAAATTAGGGGTTGTCCTCTGTAGAACAGGGCACATGGTCACTCCCGTTTGAGCTCCAACTCCCAGCAGCCCCAACCAGCAGGGCCAATGTTCAGAGATGGTGGGAGCAACATCTGAAGGGCCACAGCTTTCCAGCCCGTATACTAAGCAGTGGCTGGATATTCTGCTAGGATACGGGCCATTTAAAAAATAACAAATAACAAAAATTTAAAAAATCATGCTTTCTGATGAGCAGCTGGCCCTGCAGGTGCTATAGCCCCATACTGGCCTCACCAGTGTTGCTGAGAATGGTATTCTAAGCTCATGCTTGTAAATTAATTGAATTAATATGCCACATGGATCTGTAGCTTTGAAGGTATCTATAGCATGCAACCAGCCTTGTCTCCAAAGCCTATAAGCTGCCTAGAGCCATTCATGTCCAAGTCACTGCTCTTCTTTGGGCTTGTAGTTCAGAATGATATATAATGTCCTCCTAGGTCAAATGAAGAACAGTGAAATCTAACCTGAGCATTAGGAAAGCCTATCACTTTCTGGTGCCTTATAAATAGGCCACACTCCTATTGCAGCTAAACGCCAGCCCTAACCCCAAAATTCCCAACCCCCTTGAAAGAGGCTGGCCTTACCAAAGGCTTCCATTAATCTTCTGTGCTATTGTATTCAACTTATTTTCAGAGATATATGAAGGCTCATCAGTGGGACTGGCAAGGGAAATGTGCGGCTTCCTGTATCCCAGCCATTAATGTAAAATGAAGGAATTCAATGCATCTGGGTGTGAGGAAGTTGATCATTCTTCAGAAGCTGCAAAGAGTTGGTTCCTTCTGGACAAGTGACAAGGCTGCTGGGGAATGAGTAGTGGGGACAGATCAAAGGGCAGGTGTATACCAAGGGTGGGCAGCTAGGGTGCGGATTTGCACTGGGAGCATTGATCGGGTTAGAAATACCAGGAGAATCTCTCTCAGCACCATCATATGCATGACTAAGTCTCATTGCATTAGGGAGGGATGAATCAGTCCTATTTCTAGCTGGTGTCAATTTCACACACATTTCTCTGCAAGTCCCTCCTGTTCGTGAATTAGTCTCTGATTTAAAGTCCATGTGAAAATTCATATTTAAATACGTATTTTATCTCAATGTATGCAGGTGTGCACATGCTGGTACTTTTTTTTTTTTAATAGCAGGGAACTGTATTGCAAAATGCTGCATTTTGGCAGTATCATCACAGAAGCCTGGAATCCACAGGCCTGCCCTCACTGTCTGCATGTTAGTGGCAAAGTAGACCCTTGCCATCCATCATCTGATAGAATGCACCTCTCTGAATAGCTGCTGCTGCTTCATTGTGCCACTGCAGGAGTTAAGAATAAAGGACTTGTCTTATGCCAGTGTTTTAAAATTCTTTATTTGAAAAAAAAAAAGAATGGAAAAATATAGTGAAATGAAATCAGAGCTTCCTTTGAATGGGCTTCCCAATGGAAAGCAAACATAATATCAAGGGGTAAGGGGCAGGAAAAGATTCAAGCATACGTAATAAATACAGTCAAACAGTATAAGAAGAGGGTTATGCCATGGAGCGGGCTTGGGTGCCCTCTGTGACAGAAGTCCACAAACCTTGCCGATTCATGCCTGTCACGAGGGCTAGAAACTTAGCACTCTAAAACCTTATGGAACCACTAGCACCCAATTCACAAGGAACACCTTTCATGCCAAACTATATGATTGCAACAATCATGTGAAAAATGCCAACCACAATTTTCCAGTCACAAGTTCGTTGGATAAATCAAGCCCTCCTTCTGCTAGGGCAGCGCTGCAAGTGACAGCATCGCCCTATCAAGTGTCAAATGTTGCTTTAACTAATCCATTACATTTATATGGATACGATAGGCATGACCAATGGCATCAAACAGTCCTAAACTAATTTTGATTTAGGCTTCCCATGAAAACACAGTATGTGGCCACATGCCACACCTATTCTTGATAAGGCAGGAGGGGTGGGGCAAAGATACTATATCAGTTGAATTTAGATCAGTAAATAAATCATGCATTCATGATTCTAAGGCCACAAAGGACTATTGCAATTGTTTGCTTCTGGTGCACACAAGCATGGGAAAATGTTACCCAGCTGTTCTTACACCAGTCAACGTTCGCAAGGACTATTCAATTGATTACATCAAAAGACAAGCGTCTGGTGTTTTGTGTGTGTGTGTGTGTGTGTGTGTGTAACCCATGAACATAAATAGGCCAGTAATAAAAACAAAAATCCTAGCTGACTATGCTCTCCTCTTGCTCTGCAAAGTCTGCATGGGAACCCTCATCTAGCCCCATTTATGTTTTAGAAGCTGAGCACAACAGCATCCTCTTTAGCTCTCCACTGCAAGACTAACCTGTGCAGCAAGATGCATCTCTTATTCATTACTTGGTGACAGGGGCTGGGTCAGGAATAGTGCAAGGTCAGAACTAAAGAGGAAAGCACAAATCCTGCACCTCAGTTACACTTTCACTGTGGATTTTGGCCAAAATCTGCTTCATTTTATATTCTGGAACAGTTTTGTGTTTGTTATTGAACTCTCTTTTCCAACTCATACAACATTCATCCTGACATCATTAAATAAATTATCCATGCACATTGCACTAGAAAACCATCTCCTCCTATAACTGGGCAGGGAAGGCAAGTTGATTTTCTGACTCATGAAAATATACAAAATAAATAGATGTATACAAAAAAGTTGAGCGCCTTCACATCTCCTGGGGTTATTAAAGGCAGATCACAAATGTTACTTACATATGATGGAATTTTGACATCAGAGGCTTCCTTAGCAAAGAAGGGGATACATTCCAGAGGTTATGCCTCAAGCCACCATTCCATTTTAGGTGCCAGGGAGAGTAACATGTAGGCTCTCAAGAGCCAAGATCAGGTGCTTGGGTTGGAAAACCTGTCACCTAGACTATGATTATGCCTTATGGACAGCATCCTCAGAGAAGCAAAAATAAAATAAAAATGTTTCATGTAATGAAGAGTAGATCTGCAGGCAGAACCAGAATAAGGGGAGTAGATAACCACTCTGCCAGGCTATTTTGCATTTAACAGTCATAAGGAGGAGCATTTCAGTAGATGAAGCTGTTCTTGTTGTAGTGTCACTGGGGTGGGAGCTGACCTGCCAAAATTCTCTCTTCTTGTCCTGTACTGTAATTGACAGCTCTTGGATCCTAAGATCTTACACCACAGCCATCGGCCATAGATGAAAGCATCATAAAGTGCATATCCTCATGGGTTTGAGCAATATCAGAAGATATCAGAGATTGTATCGTAACGAAACACATTCCTTTTCTCTTTCTACAAAACCGTTTGGCATCCGCCCAAAGTTCTCACCGAAGCAAAACTTGCGCAAGCTTGACCTTAATCACATCTAAGGCTAAATTTACACATGCAACAGAATGAGGTGGTGAAGTCCTGCGAAGTACAGCAGATTGTATAACTTAGGCTGCAGGTGAATCATGTTTTTGAAAACCCTATGTAAAAATGACTCTTGCAAGCAGAAACCTAGCAAGGCATAGAAGGGAGCCTCTTTTAGACAGCCTTCTGTCTGCTATCCTGAGTTTCTGCTTTCAGGAATGTTGTTTCTAACATAAACAAGCAATCAAAAATATAACCCTACACTTAGACACACCACCCATGACACTGAATTGAGAAGAGGCCATTCCACCACCTTAAGACTCTGCCACTTCACTTTGCGACACATATAAATCAAGCTTGAGTTTTGTACTGAAAACCTCGATTCTAGTCCATTGATTACACACTATCTTTACTGCATGGGGTGGGCATCATCTGTGGCACTTTTCAATCCAGCCTACAGCCTCTCCTTCTTTCCCCACCCCCATTTTTTAAAAAATTACATCCACATGCAACTGAGACTCCCCCCCCAAAGCCTAATTACCATGTGGGGGGTATTTGTGGGAGGTGACAACTGGGGAGTGAAGGCTTAAGTCCTACTCTCTCTGTCCTCCCCCATAGGCGTTTTTTGTGGAAGGAGGGCAGGGTGAGAGAGGAGAGAAAAGGGAGCAAGAGAGAATGGAGAGTCTATGTATGTAGGGGGAGTGTGGATGAAAGAGAGGAAGTGTGGGGTAAATGGGGGATTGATAGAGGGCAAGTGGGTGCAAACGTGGAGGGTGACTGCAGGCCCAACTAGAATTTACCTTGGGGAGGGACAGCGTCTCTACCCATGACTCACAGCTTCCCTTAAATAACCACCTGAATTCAACTTACAATAAGCTTCTCTTTTGCCAGCAACAGCAATTATATTTTTGCGAATATTATATTAATAACTCCTCACCCAGATCATTTCATCTTAAACCTTTTAAAATGTGCTTTAAAACGTGCCATACAGTTTTGCTGTAAAATAAAATGCTTCGGACAATAGCAGGTGTGAATAAATAAGCAGTTGAAATAAACATTGAAGAAATATGTCAGGAGCTTAAGAGCAGAAGTGATCAGTTAGTTGGTTTTTCTTCTTTTGTGAGGAAACCTCCACTAAGGGCCTGATACTGCATACGATGGCTGCTTCTTTGTCTGCTTTAAAAAAAACTACGATAATGTACTATTAATAGAATCGCTTCAATATGAAGATGGAGGAATGTCTCTTGGAGCAAGTAATGAGCAAAATTTCTACTGGTGAAATTTGATGAAGCATTGCCAAATTCAAATCGAGACTCACTAATTTTGCATGGACTATTCAACCATTTTAAAATCATGTTCTATTTTCTCTAGGTACACAGGAGATGTGAAGGCAGCTGAATTTTCACACAATACTTGATTTAGAAAAAGGAACCCACTGTAAATCAATAAATTAACACACACACACACATACACATTTGCAAAGATTGTAAGATTCGCAGGTGCACTGTCAGAATTTCTCATTTAGTCCCTGAAGATATCAAACAAAAGCAAAAATAAATAAATAAAACAAAGCCAACCAAAAATGCTGAACTTGCACCAGAGTGGTAGATTCTTTCCCCCCTTTGATCTTGTCTCCACTGGGCAAAACTGAACAGGTGAAACAACCCAGCCAAATCCATAATCACATCAAGTCCATCATAAGAAAGATGCCCAGGTGCGCTTCTGGCACATCAGCTGTTCTGCAGGAATGGAAAGTAAAGTAGCCATGTGACTTGGATAAACTGGTGTGATATGTACATCATTCTGCTCCATGAAATCTGTGCACGTTTCTAAGGGGCATCAGTTTTAAGAAAAAGAAAAAAGTTCATCTTCAGTGTTGAACCGTTGTCTTCATATGTAGAAATGAGCCTTTTATCATCCTTCTCAGGCAGAAAAACACCCCGCAAAAAAACGCTTTATGGAGACTGGCGTTCTGCAGCTCTGCGCACAAAGCTTTGCAATCGCCCTCACTTCCTTTGTTTGCTTTGAAAGAAAAGGCTAAGGTGTTGCAGCTAAAGATTCTTCCGGACTTCATTTGCTTTCCCGCAACCCCTTGCAAAGGCATCCTGGAAGAGGGGCTTATTCAGCCTCTCACAAGCTCAGATGCAGCTACACTCCCTACGGCTGAGAGATGGTGTTGGACGTGAATAAAGTTGGCTGTGCAGGGGAAGAGCGAGTGAGGATTACATACTCTGTATAGACAAAGGAACTGAGTTGCAAGGTCTCCTCGTTCTCTCTCTCTCTCTACATGAAAAAAAACCCCGAAACACCCTGCAGCCCCGATACCTGGCTGCCAAGAGAATCAGCTAGGGAGCAGCACGTGTTCCAGAAGGTAAGTGATGGAGTCCCAGTGCTTCCAGAGGAGGAAGAGAAAAAGCACTAGCAGGGTGGTGCTCAGGAGACGCATGCGGGTCTTCATCAAGGGCGTGATGAAACTGGCAATGGTGGAGACAAAGACCAGCAGCACAGCCATCAAGGCCAATATGACGTTGATGAATTTGCCTAGCAGGGCCCGGGCATTGGCATTCTCCACCCCTTCCAGCTGCACCACCTGTTGCTGCTGCTGCTGAAGTTCCAGCTTGGTGACACGAGTCAGGCAGGATTCCACAGCCTCCTGCAGGGGAAAGAGAAAAAGGACCAGTGTTAGCTTAGCTGAGGGATCACAGCTGTGTTAGAACATCTGCACTGCATGCTGAGAGTACCAGATCCTGGAGAAGGGCTATGAGTTGGAGCAAACAATAACTAGCCTAGATGGACATACAGTGTGACTTATTATAAGGCAGATTCCAAGGTTCCTGCGAAAGCTGTGGCACATCTACTGATCTTGAGCCCTTCTACGATCTAGGGACAAGAGGGAACAGATTGCAGACTAGCTAATCTAAAGCTAAGATCCATAGACAAATTCTCAGTTCTTCAGATGCAAGTCTCATTCCTCTCCTCCTGCATCTTTTCAGTTCTCTAGTCTTATCAGTGCCAAACATCCATGCTGAGAGAATGATCTGTAGGAATATACCACAGTTCTAGTGTTGCAGGTCTGGTCCTGAGCTCTGCCTGTATAGCAGATCAGCTAGGATTTGTATTTATATGTAAGCCGTTCTATGTTTTTGGGAGGGAGACTGAATATGTGGAAAGAATAAATACCCAATAGGGAGGGGAAGATGTCAGGCCAGCTGTACAAGCATCCCTATGCATTTCCATACCTGAATGTCTCTGGCCCTCTCATAGGACTGGTAAGCCACCTTCTCCTCCATGCTGGCCAGCTCCTGTTTGAGATTGGTCATTTCATTCTGGTGGAGTTCTGTCAGGTCATTCAGCTGCTCTTCCAAGCGTTCATATCTGTGTAGCGGGAGAGGGAGAAACACAGTGGGTGAGAATTCGGAGCCGGAGAAGTCAGGGAAGCTCATTGTATTCAGGTGTGGGTATGAGCTTTGGGGGCTCATATTGCTGGTGTCAAAGAAAATGTGAACTTTTCAAATCCCTTAATTTTTCCTCTGGCTCAGATTTCCTTAATCTCCTACACCAGTGCTTCCCAGTTCCCAAACTCCCCTCTCCCCTCAAGACTCACCAGCCAGAATTAGCAGAGGCATCCAGGGAGTAGGAACGAGGGATCTCTGTCTATTCCCCTCCTGAGTAGCAATGACAGCAGTGCTACATCTCTCATGGACCATCAAACCTTTCAAGTTCCAGAGAGATAGGCGAGAAGAGACAGAGCTCACTTCTCCCATTTTCTCATGTGCTGCTGCTACTGGCTGATAAATCCTCAAGGGGAAGAGGAAGGGAAGGATGTTCTGAGTTCATTGGCGATGAACTTGCCAATGCTAATGAAAACACCAGCCCACAAACAACACCCAACTTTAACTTTCCTTGGAGCTGAACAACCATTTAAGAACACTGACAGCTGACTAAATAATATCCTGCTTTTCAGTCTTGACAGGTTCACAAAGATGATTAGAATGCACTTAGAAATGGAGTACAGTGGTACCTCGGGTTACATATGCTTCAGGTTACAGACTCCGCTAACCCAGAAATAGTGCTTCAGGTTAAGAACTTTGCTTCAGGATGAGAACAGAAATTGTGCTCCGGCAGCACAGCAGCAGCAGGAGGCCCCATTAGCTAAAGTGGTGCTTCAGGTTAAGAACAGTGTCAGGTTAAGAACGGACCTCCGGAACGAATTAAGTACTTAACCCGAGGTACCACTGTATGTATGCCAGAGTCTTTCTGTCCTTAGCAGCTGATGTAACAATCCATGTTCCAGTCTCTTCCCTCTTGAGTAAAAAGCCAGCAGGAGCTATAGATGGTCTCAGGGGATGGCGGAAGGTAATGCCAGTCCACAGAAGCAGCTGCTCCAGGGAGCGCTCTACATGATGAAAGCATTTAATGATATATTTTCTCTACTTTCCAAGAGACCGGATTTCCTCTTATATCCCTATGAAACGTCCCTGCCTCGTTCCTTCAGGATGTTGCTATATCCTTGACAGTCAAGCAGACTAGAAAGGGAAGTGTCATTTAGCTGTGAACAGTTAAACCACTGTGGAAGCAAACTCACTGCAACTGCAACCCAATTATAGCCCCTTCTCCGGAATTATATGCACAAGGGCCTGTTGATGTGCAGGAAATAGAAGAGTTTGTAAAGAAGTATGGACTACCAAAGATTTCAGATCAAAGTAGAATGATTCTGAATGAGAAAATAACAGGACAAGAAGTAGAGGGCGCCATTCAGAATATGCAGTTGGGAAAATCTCCAGGACCAGATGGCCTAACGGCTAGATACTACAAGGCATTGAAGGAATGGATAATACAACCACTGAAGGAGGTTTGTAATGAAATTTTAGAAGGGAAAAAGGCACCTGAATCGTGGAAAGAAGCTTTTATCTCACTCATACCGAAAACAGAGACTGAAAAGAACCAGGTTAAAAACTACCGCCCAATTTCACTATTAAATGTGGATTACAAAATTTTTGCAGACATTTTAGCAAAAAGACTGAAAAGAGTGTTGATAGGGGAGATTCATAAGGACCAAACAGGCTTTCTCCCAGGGAGACATATGTCGGACAATGTGAGGAACATTATAGACATTTTGGAATTACTGGAAGTGAACATTAATAGAAAGGCGGTTTTGATTTTTGTGGACGCGGAGAAAGCCTTTGATAATATCTGTTGGACCTTTATGAAGAAGAATCTCCAAGGGATGGGGGTAGGCCAAGGTTTTGAAAACGGTATAGGTGCTATATATTCTAAGCAAAAAGCAAAGCTGATTGTGAACAATGTGGTTACGGAAGAAATACCTATAGAAAAGGGTACACGACAGGGGTGCCCAATATCCCCTTTACTTTTTATAACAGTCCTGGAGGTGTTGTTAAACATGATTAGAGGGGACCAATTGGTTAAAGGAGTTCAGGTCGGAGCGAGAAACTACAAACTAAGGGCATTTGCAGATGACCTTGTACTGACTTTGCAACAGCCAGACACTAGTACTAAAAGAGTACTAGAACTAATTGAGACATTTGGTCAAGTAGCAGGATTTAAATTGAATAAGCAGAAAACTAAGGTGTTGGAGAAAAATTTAACAATCGCAGAAAAAGAGAAATTTCAGAGGGAAACAGGCTTAGAAATAACAAAAAAAGTGAAGTACCTGGGTGTGAACTTGACTTCTAAAAATGTGAATTTATTTAAAGACAATTATGACAAATGCTGGAATGAGGTGAAGAAAGATCTAGAAATATGGTCACGACTGAGACTTTCCTTGTTAGGCCGAATTGCTGTCATCAAGATGAATGTATTGCCTAGAATGTTGTTTTTGTTTCAGACACTTCAGATCATAGATAAAATGGATTGTTTCAAGAAGTGGCAAAAAGACATATCAAAATTTGTCTGGCAGGGCAAAAAGCCCAGAATAAACTTTAAGATCTTAACTGATGCAAAAGAAAGAGGGGGGTTTGCCCTGCCGGACCTGAGACTCTACTATGAATCGGCAGCGTTTTGCTGGCTGAAACAATGGCTGCTTCTTGAGAATACAGACATTTTGGATCTAGAAGGGTATGACAATAGATTTGGTTGGCATGCATATATATGGTATGACAAGGTAAAATTACATAAAGGTTTTAAAAACCATATTGTTAGGAAAGCACTATATAATGTTTGGATAAGATATAAAGATCTATTGGAAAGTAAAACTCCCAGGTGGCTATCACCAATGGAAGCTAAAGAGACGAAAAAACTTAATATGGAGTCCAAATGGCCAAAATACGGTGAAATCTTAGAGCAAGATGGTGAAAGGGTCAAATTACAGAGTTATGATAAATTAAAGTCTAAAGTACGAGATTGGCTGCATTACCTTCAGATAAACGAGGTATTTAAACAGGACAGGAAAGTAGGTTTTCAGAAGGAGAGGTCGAAACTAGAAACAGAATTGTTAGAACCCAATACTAAGAACTTGTCAAGAATGTATAATTTGCTGCTGAAATGGAACACACAAGATGAAACAGTAAAATCAGCTATGATTAAATGGGCACAAGACATAGGTCATAACATTATGTTTGAAGACTGGGAAAGGTTGTGGAATACTGGTGTCAGATTTACGGCCTGTAATGTCTTGAGAGAAAATATAATGAAAATGATTTATAGATGGTATATGACCCCAGTCAAACTTGCAAAAATTTACCATTTGCCCAATAACAAATGTTGGAAATGTAATGAAAGTGAAGGTACCTTTTATCACCTTTGGTGGACCTGCCCGAGGATTAAGGCCTACTGGGAAATGATCTATAATGAAATCAAAAAGGTCCTTAAATGGACATTTCCTAAAAAACCAGAGGCTTTTCTCCTGGGCATGGTGGGCCAATTGGTGTCAAGGAAGGACAGAACTTTTTTTATGTATGCCACCACAGCAGCAAGGATTCTTCTGGCAAAGTATTGGAAGACGCAGCAGCTACCTACTCTGGAAGAATGGCAAGCGAAGGTGATTGACTACATGGGAATGGCTGAGATGACCGGCAGAATCCGTGACCAGGGGAAAGAGACAGTGGAAGAAGATTGGAAGAAATTTAAAGTATATCTGAAAAACTGTTGTAAAATTGAAGAGTGCTGAGATGTTATGGTATTAAGAAATAGAGAATTGCAGTTGTATATCATAAATTTAAAGGGGCTATAATGAAGATAAAGTAATAATGAAATGAAGGGTTGCTGTTAAAAGGGAAAAATAAGGATGCAGAAAGAGGGAGGTATGGGGAAGTCCGGGAAACAAGGTGAAGGAGAATGAGTTTATGAAATTGTACATGTTTATTTGTGTGTATGTTTTGTTTTGTTTTGTTGTTTGTTTATATTATATGTTTGGAAAACTAATAATTTTTTTTTTTTAAAAAAAAATATAGCCCCTTCTCCGGGACTGTCTGAGGTCAGATTTGCACAATGCTGGTTGGCCAACCCTTGTGTTAGATCAGAAAACAGCCTCCGCAGAGCAAGGCTGTGCCCCAGGATGACTGGCTGTCATCTGTACAAGCAGGAGCAGCAGGCAGGGAAAGTAGGGCAGAGTTGCCTATCCAATGCCACTTACCTCTACCACTTACCCAAGTGGGGGAGGTAGGCAGTGGGCAGCTCAGTGTGGGCGCAGAAACAGGTGCATCAGATTGGCTCAGCTGCTCTGCCTGCAATGGGCTCCTCACTGCCTCATCTTTCCCTCTACTGGGAGCCAATAGTGATATGTGGCTCTGGCAATCTTCCTCCTCCTCCACTTAAATTTTAAGTGCAACCCCCCCAAAAAATGGGGGGGGTCATTTAGCATGTAAAAAGGAACCTTCTGGCACTCTATGTGTTATGGCATCAGCCTTTGTAGACTGGAATATATATGTCTACATGGATTCAGAGGAAAGAAAATGTAAACAGTGGCATCAAATGGACAGGAAACATGAAAGTGCACTCTGGACAATTCTATATATAAAGCTTAAATGAATAAGCACAGTGATATCTGGCCACTCAACATAGGAAGTAACTGAAAATAACAGATAAATGTGTGTTTGTGGGAGGGGGCATTACTGGTTCATGTTTCTTCTTCTTCTTGATTTTTATAAAGTATTTTGTACTTTTATATTGCACCTTTATGTTGCGAACTACCCTGAGATCCTGTCAGCAGCCAGTCCAGTTGAATTCTGTAGGTGGAATGTGGGAGTGGAAGATGAAGTCCTGCTCCTCACCTAAAGCAACAAAAGATCTTGGGCTACCCCTGGATCACCACGGAAAACTATGCTTCAAAACATGTTCCCATTTCCACCGCTTAACCTTATATAGCATTAAACCAAGCCAGTGGCTTGTCTATTGCACTGAAATAGAAAATAAAAGAA